TATATTATTTTTGCTTTTAAAATGGAGGTAATTTGTTACACAAAAGTGGTGTTTTCTTTAATCTGAAAATAATACTAATTATAACACTATTTGGGAGCTGGAGTTTTGAAGCCTAAAATTCCTTTTGTAGTTTGAAATTACTTAGCTGCCATAACTAAACTGGCACTGCCACCCTGGATATTGTCATTTCTTTCTGTATTGTCCCTTTCCTTTTACTCTGGCCACTCTCCTCCCTGGGTTTTCTATGGAATGCCTCCTAGCTCCCCAGGCATCCTGCTACTGGTATTTATTCTCTTTAATTTAATTTCTTCCCTTTGCAGTTAGGTACTGCTCTTTAAGCCATCCATGCTATTTCATTGTTCAGCAGGAAGGGGTTGCAGGCTGGTGTATAACAGATGGAATACTCTTTGGAGAACTTCTGGTCAGAGGGTTGGTGGCTGTTTAACCTAGAGAGTGAGGACTATGGGGCATTTCTCTCTTCCCTCTGGAGACCTCTGGGCCCTCTAGGTTGAAGCCCATTCCTAATTCTCAGGGACAAAAAAAGGGCATTTGATTAACTTCCTGGGTGATCTCTTTTGCACGTAACTGTGGTCCCTAATTCGCTGATAAATTGCTTTCCGACATTTCTTTCAGAATCACAAGAGGGCAGTGGCTTTGATGCCAGGTGCAACTGCTGCCTCCAGCACCTGGAATTTGCCCAAATGGCAGAAAAGCCCTAGAAAGGAGGCCAACCTTCCACGTGGCCTTGAGGTGTTCTAGGAGAGGCACAGTGACAGCCCTCAATCGGACACAGATTTCCACTCTGCGCAAACAATAGGATTTTGATTTGTTAGCTCTCGCCTGCATTTGGGGCCATTTCTTGAGGATTAGATAAAAAGGACACACGTGGACATACGCCCAAAAGCTGGTAGATTTTCAAGGGATTCACAGATTTCTCCACTACAGGGGCCAAAGGGTTCCTGGTGAAGAAGTCCTGTTTACGGTTCCAGGGAGACCTACCTAGTCTGGGTCTCTGTGTTCCCCTCCCTCCTGCTTTTGAACCGTGCTCCTCTCCGCCTGCAACCTGCCTTGATGTCCCTATAGACTTCCACGCGTGTTCTGCCTCCGCCTTGTCCTGCTCTAGCTATTCCACACTTGTCGTGCACCAGCTATCTGTATTTTCTAGAATGCTCTTTCCCCAGAATGAGTTCTTCAGAGGGGCCTTCTTGACTCCTCTCATACAAAGTGATGGTACCCATTTCCAACCTCTGTTTTATTGTGTGCAGAGCATGATTTCCGTATCAAATGACCTTGCTCATGGGTTTGCTTACCTGTTTGCTGTCTTACTGTGCCACGCGTGACCGTGCAAACTCCATGAGAACTTCTACATCCCCGCCCCTGACAACAGTGCCCAACACTTAGGAAGCACTTAATACATACATGGTCACCGAATCTGTTCATACACGGAGTTGAGGAATTAATCGCAAATATTAGGTTTTCATCCTTGCAGTTCTACTCTGTTTGCAAATCAAGGAAAACCTTAAAATGAGGTTTTTCTAGGACAAGATTTGTCACCCTGAGCACTATTGACGTTTTTGTCTGGACAATTCTTTTTTTTTTTTTTTTTTTTTTTTTTTTTTTTTTTTTTTTTTTACCAGGCCTTTGCATTCCAAGATGTTAAACAGCCACTGTAGTCTCCACCAACTAGACACCAATTAACACTTTTCCAGTTGTGTCCACCAAAAATGTCCCCGGACATCACCGAATGTCCCTCCGCAGGCAAAATTAACCCAGGTTGAGAACCACTGGATTAGAATCCTGAGTGGTCACTTCCTGCGACGATCTGCCGATGCCCAGATTTCTGTGCTTAGGTCTGCATCGCTTGGACCAGAGAGAAGACTGATGTCTAAAACGCACCTGAGAAATGTAAAAAACCAAGAGTCTGGGCAAAGGAGCCTGCGGTATTGGAGTAGAGGTTTGAGAAGCAACACTACCCTCAGATGTCATCAGAGCAAAAGAAGAGTGTTTCCTACAGACCTAATTTGGGCTGTGAACGTGAGGGAGCAGTGTGAAGTCCCAGAAGGGCAAAGATGCTTCAGTAGAAGAAGGCTGGGGAGGGTTTAGGGAGGTCTCAGCCCTGGAGAAAGCGTCAAAAGTGACCAGCTGGCATGGAACGCCCATTCACGTGAGCTTTAGGGCAGAAATGCCTACTGACCCGATCTTTTGGAAGGAACTCAACAAGAGTGTTTGTGAGACAAAGGGTCAACTTCCAACCCCTGGGAAGCCCAGAGAGCAGTCACATTGGGTTCTCATGAGGTTACCCATCCCTGCATCCTTTCTCTGTCCTTCCCTGCCCTACTCTAATTCTGTCTGCCGCAGTATGGATTGAGGTTGGCAAACTGGGTCAGGGTAGAAGTCCAAGGCAGGGAAACAAGGGAGTGGACCCCAGCCCCTTCCCTACCTTCAAGCTTCCTTTCTGTTCTGCAGCAGGAACAAACTGGAGAAGTAGCTGCAACTTTAAATCAACTAGGATGGAACTATTACTTGGAAATGGACATTTAAATTATGAGACTTAATAATGTGGATGGCCTAATGCTCATCAGAAAAGCTTTCACCTCTCTGAGCATTCATCTAGGGAAGCTTCTGCCCACTGATTAAGTTGAAGGAGACAGGCAGCAGGAACACAGAAGTAAAGTTGTCTTATGAATAAATCCCATGGGTGGTGCTTGTTGATCGTGTCCATTTCTAGGTTGCTCTCTAGCCCCCCAAATACATACGTATGATAGATGGTAAATATTTATGCCATTAAATACTTTTAAAAGAACCTGTCCAAACTTCTGTGTATTTGTGGGTATTATCTGCCCTCTGACCAGGGAGATGAGTTCTCTGTCCCATTCTAGTCACCCGAGGACGGATGACAGGCAGCTTCCACGTTCTTTTAAACTCTTGGAAATAATTTTCCTTTGGTTTGATTAGATTATAAGCTTTTCTACCCAAGATCAGGGCACCGTGCTCATCTTGAAAATACTTTCCACTTTCTTTCCTTCCATGTGGTTGGCCACCCCCTCTGTCAGTCACCTCCAGTCAGCAACCCTGACACCAGGCAGTAATTTGCACAGCTCGACTCTGCTTGGGCTTCCCACCATGGCTTGTAAGGCGAAAGACTGTAATCATTAGGTCCTGCTCTAAACTGGCAGGATGTGACAGAGAATCTACGATCCGGGATAAGGCCAGTGTCAACTAACTGTGACATGCCATCAAATATAGCATCCTTAATGTCATGGAGAGTTACTTTCTGCATGGGTGATAAAGTATGGGTACGCTGACAGGCCCTTGCTTAACTGTACTCATCGGCCTTGGTATGCTCATGCCAATTCATTGTTTCATAACAGATTGGCTCACACTGAGAATGAGGATTCAATTTGAGATTTTATTGTTAACCTTTAAGGTCCTTGGAGGCATTGTTGGTCTCTTCCGCCCGACAGGAGCTAACTGAGGTTTATGCTCCCATTTGTAGGTGTCTATCAACCACGATTTCACATTGAAATCTCCACATCCGTCCCCAGCTCTTTTCCAACAATGCTTAACATAAAAAATTACTTATTTGCAGATTTGAATGAAATTTGGCCACTGGCGTCTCATCCTTGCTATGCTTTCTAGTGGAATTCATTTCTGGATATCAACCTATTTGACTTTCTCTTTATGCTCGGTGACATTTTTCCTGCTTCCTATTGTGACTTGAATCTGAACAGAAGCAGAGCAAGGTCTCATGAAGGGTGACTCAGAATACCACTCCCAAGCCAATCATGGAAATAGCTGCCAAATTTCCTTTTTAGCATTCAGACATACCAGTGCGGAGCTCCTTCGACTTTGTTAAAATAAATGATTTCCACAAGTTTGAAATGAATCTCAGGAGGGAAGCATAAGAAGAAAGAGGATATACTTGACTTGAGGGAACATTATGAGCTATTGAGCATTGGACTTCGCCAGACTGTACCGAGAATTGAAGTATTTATTTTAGGCCCGGAATTGTTTTGCAACTTATTAGGCAACTACGGCATCAAAGCACCTCAGGAATGATGACAACTACTCTAGCCATATCCCAGAAACTCTGCAAAAGTAAATTGGATGATATATGCAAAGCACTCTCAGCTTTTTGATGGAATGTTTTCTTTTTCTTTTTAAGTACTATAATGGGGACATGAGGTTCATTGGATTATTTCATTTTGCTTTATTTATACTCTTTTTGAGGCAAGTGGATGGGCAAGAAAAGAGTACATTTTCCTATAAATGAGTACACTCATAAATAATGCTCTTGGTTATGTAAAAGCCATTTCTAGTTAGAGTTTTTTAAAAATAAATACAAATATTTCTGGCTTTGCGTGTGCACGGGCTAGATTTCTTAAGGCTTGGGCTGTTGTCCAGAACAGCACCGGGTATGCAGAAAGGTCTATTGTGTTTCATATTGGCAAAAAGCTTACCAAAGCGAAGATAAAAGAGTGATGGCATGTCGCCAGTTCTGTCAATTCCCTTGCTTATTTCTCTGCTCCTCCCTGGAATCCAACCATTTCCCCCCTTTCATTTGTATAAAGAACAAAGCAATCTTCCTCTATTAGGAGTTTAATTTTTTTTTTTTTTAAAGAATTGTTTGCTATAATAGGCAATATCAGTGACCATGATTGCCCACCATGCTCAGACTCTAAATCCCCCTTTTTGCCCGAAGGCTAAATTTCATTTGGGATAACCAAGAGGTTTAGGTGTGAGAAATGTCAGGATCATTGTCACAATGCACATATGAGGTTGACATTGTGATTAGTTTGGGGGAGTCTTTCTACATGGCTAGGCTTTTAATAAGTGGAAATACCTGTGCTTATCGGAAAGCATACAACATAAATCTCTTTGAGCAACATCAACTGGTTGGAAGACTTAGACCAGCTCACAGCAGAGCAGATTTTATTTTTTGGGGACATCTCTAACAATATTATAAAATGTGTCTGATATCTTCCATTTCTTTCTCCCAGATCCTCTCTTCCCTCTTCCCCATCTGCTCTGGGAGGCTGACATTTTGGCTTCGAGTTGGGCTCAGTACATGAGTACCCCTTGGAGGAGCTCGATGGAAATGAGAAGAGTGAGGTCATGTATTTATTTCCTGGTTTCCTCCCTGTGAATCACCTTGAGCTGGCAAGGTGCCTCCATAGAACGCTTCTTTCAAGGTAGTTGATTCTGTACAATTCTCTCCTTCCTCTTGCTGGGAGCCACTTTTTCTCCTTGTTTGTCCAGGACCAGGGCAGCGCTAGCTCAGATGCTACCACCCCCAGTTCTGCTTCTTCTCCACACACACCTTTGAGAATTCCCTTTGTAAATAAACTTTTCCTAAATCATCCTATTTTGAGTTTCCCATCTGTTTCCTATTTTTACGTGTTTACGGATATATGGGGCAATAGAAAATCGGAAAGATGTTAAACATATATCAGAGAAATTAGGAATCACCTGTTTTGAAAGTGAGCCTAATTCAAGGGCAACTGGTAAACGGGAGTGAGGAATAAGGTCCAAGTACAATTTTATCAGCAGATCATACAAAATAAAATTTTCAGAAAAAAGATAATGAGTATCTTCAAATATCTGAGGAGCTACTAACTGGAGAATAGATCAAGGAATGAGTATATTACTATAAAACCTATTCAAGTAGTGGTTAGGGTAATTATGTTTTGAGAAGGAAAAGAATAAATTTTTGCATTTGGAGAGGTGGTGGACTGCATATCTTTAAGATTGCTTTCAACTCTAAGATTCTGTGTTGCCATGAACTCAGTGTAACCCAAATAAAACACAGGGCTTCTTGTGGCCCAGTTTGGGGCCACATTGAAAGAAATGGAGATCATAAATTTCAATGCAAGTTAAAAGTAACTATAATTTTTTAGATTGCCTGGGCACCATTAAAATAGATTTAATCAATTATCTATAGCAAAGACTTCTTAAATTTTCCTTCTTCTATTTCTTTGGTTTTATCTCTAGCTCTCAAAGCTTCTCCTATTAAGTCTATTTTTTGGTCTATTCTCAACTTTTTCCATCCATATTCCCCTAGCTACCATACCTAATAAGGCATTTTCTTCCCATTCCTTTTCCCAAATTTTGTTCTGCAATTTTTTTTTCTACCAAGAGATAATTCCCTCTAATTTCTTCTTGATTTTCTCTCCATTGGCTACTCATAACTACACAATAAGGACATATCAGTGGAAAGTGCTGGCTGGCAATGTCTATGTGGTGAGGAAGAGGGTGGTGGTATCAAATAGAGGAAAAGGAAAGGCAGTTTGGTTCATTAATAATTTTTATCCCTCCCACATTGTCATCTCAAGCAAGTATGCTACCTAGAACATAAACATAGTGCTTTTAATACAACATGCTTATGTAGGAATTTGTTTAGGCAGATTTTTGAATGTAAGAAAGCTATTGTTGTAACTGGAATTTGAAGCTCATAATTACAAAGCTTTAGGTTGAGCATCATTTGGTTGAATTGCAATGGCAACTTTTCATGCATTCAAGTCCTACCATTTTATTTACTGCCCATCACCTACTGCTTTGGATAAATTAGCTCATGGACAAATTTTCTTATGCCTGAGTTTCGCCTTCTAAATAATGGTGACAGTAATAATGATAGTATAAACTTCATGGAGGGGTTCTGTGAGGTTTAGATGATATATCCCTACATGGCTCAAAAAGTGATGACTCCTCAAGGGTCCCCATTATTATTGCTATTACTATTATAATTTTTATTATACTAAGTATTATTATAGCTACAAAGATCTATATTATATAGATATTAAATTTTAGCCTGAGATTTTTGAGATTAATGTAAACGTTTTGATTATGTTTATGGTGAAGGCTGGCTAGGTAGATATCCAACTAATTTGATTTTCTTCGTAGACTATATATTCCAGTCTCTGCTACATTTAGATGTGCTCTTATGTCTGAGATCTGTCTGATGGAATGGGACTGGAAAAATATGTTGCTTTTAGGACTGGTCTGTACAAATCTTCTCACGCCCAACTGTCCATGATTGTTATCCTTCTGTGACATGACAGACCTAAGATGGCAACTTTGGAAGCCACATCTTAAAGATGACAGAACCACAAGGTAGGAGATGCCTTGGGTCTTTGAGTCATTGCTTGGGGGGAAAAAGTCACTTGCCAATCTGAGGCACTTCGGGCTTTGTATGAGCATAAAATAGACTTCTGTCATCTTTAAGCCCGTTCATTTATTAATTTGTTTGCTATAACAACTAGGGTTATCTAGCTAATACAATAATATACTGAGAAGATTGATTACTCTGTCTGGTTTAAGCATCTTGCAAAACCTCTCACTAAAATAATCTTATTTGAGTAAAAAGTCTTTGACATGATTAAACTAAAATATCAAATTTTTTTGTTTTCATTCATATATCTCCCTTATACTTTAAATACTTCTTTTAACAAAATTTTCAAGGCTTTCCCTTATTCATTTCAAGGTGTTTTAACCCTTTGCTTGAACATTATGTCAATATTTTAATTTTATCAGAAGTGCAGTTAATTTTTTTTCTTATAGAAATACTTATAGATGGTGGCTGTGTTTGGTGTGCAACACAATGTCTTAGAAGTAGGTATCAAATAAAAATTTGTTTACTGATAATGAGGAAAATAAGGTAGGTGGAGAACAGTCATACAAAGTTTTCTACTATGTTCATAAACTCAGTGGGAAGTACTAGTGGAAACTATTTTGGTATCAAATAGGATTAGTGGAGAAACTGTGTCTTGATAAAAATTTGTCTTTTTTCGTTTAGTTTTGATGGCATTTTATTTATTTATTTTCTCTGTTCCAAGTCTGCTGAGTCAGAATCCCAGAAAGAGCATCTAATCAAATTACCATGATAATGACAAAGCTATCTATGGAAGCAGATCTGCTATAGATTAATAGAAATTATAGTAATAATAACATTTTGTAGGCTGCTTTGGGAAAATGAAAGGAACACTCCTTACATGGGTAAAGTGCCCTCAATTGTTGAGTAGCTAGGTGGAGATGCTGAGAGAGAGAGAGAGAGAGATGGGGAAGGAGGAGGATAGTATTGCATCAGTGAATGTATAGTTTTAGTTGTAAATGCAGATTTCCATGTTAACTGCTAATAATAACAGCATTCTCATCCACAAAGACAACAATAGTGACAATACTTGTGTAACATATTAGAATTAGGAAACTAATTTCACATTAGTTTATTTAGTAATGTAGTCCTTATGCTATTTTATGGTCATGGCTGATATCACTGGGTCCTGACTTCTTCCTTGTTAACAGAACTCTGATTTTTCTCAGTTAGTGGGCGGTGACACCTTGTTCTCAGGGAAGCATGACCTCCACCCCAGCTTCACAGGGTGAATCACGAATGATCTAGTCCCATGATAGCAGTTCCATTTTCCTGTTATTGGTCTAAAGATAGGCTTAAGTCCCAGAATTGACCAATGCAATAAAAAGAGAAGTCTGCTATTTTGCTTCTAGAAAATAATTATAAAATGGAAAGATCAATCAAATAACAGAGGACCAGAACCGTGAATGAAGCCTGGAACCATTGAAGAACACTGGAATAAGGTGCCTCTGGGAATGTAAAAAAAAAAAAGAAAGAAAGAAAAAAGAAAAAAAATTCCATTTTGGTCACTAGAACTTGAGAATTCCAACTAATACAATGATATGGGCAGGTATAATTATCCATATTTTAAGTGTGAGGAATCCAAGAGTTGGAGAAGCTAAGTAACTTGTTTAACTTGTTAATTCAAGCCTCGTCTTATACCTCAAACTATAGTACCTCTGCTCTCACAAACTTATACATTATCAGTGGTAGGGAAAACGTTTTATAATTCTTTTATTCCTCACCCACAGATGTGAATACAATGCTGAGCCTATAATTGATTCTGCAGCTTAGATCCATTAAATGGGATTCCCATCTTTATTCTAAAGAGAATATATTTAATTTGACATCAAAAGCACAAGCAACAAAAGCAAAAATAAACAAGTGGGAGTATGTCAAACAAAAACGTTTTGGCATAGCAAAGGAAACAACCAACAAAGTGAAAAGGTAGCCTACAGAATGGGAGAAAATATTTTGCAAATCATATATCTGATTGGGGTGTGATGGGTGTGATACCATATGACATGAGCAGCCCAGCATGAACTGGGTTTTATTTGAGCCAACAAGCCATAAAGTTGGGTGTGCACAGAACCACTGCATCTTTCCGGTGGGTGGAACTTCAGGCAGTGCATCTGACTGTGCACTTTGCTTGGAAGGAGAAATGGCCAGATGTGCAATTATATAACCATCCATGGGCTGTAGCCAATAGTTTGGGCTGGATGTTAGGGAGTTGGGAGGAACATGATCGGAAAATTGGTGACAAAGACATTTGAGAAAGAGGTAATATAGACAGCCTTCTCCAAATGGGGTATAAAAAGAAGATATTTGTGTCCCACGTGGATGCTGACCAAAGGGTGATGTTGGCAGAGGAGGATTTTAATAATCAAGTGGGTGAGATGGGCCTTTCTATGGTCAGCCTTCTTCTGCAGCCACCTCGTCCCCACCCAATGGGCTCATGGACAAAGTAGCCATGATGGCAGGGATGGAAGTTGTGCATGAGCTCAGCAATGTGGACTTCCACTCACCAAGGTCAACCTGGTTGACCACTGAGTGCCCATCTGCCAGAAGCAGAGACCTATATGGCACTATCTGCCAAGGTGATCAGCCAGCTACCTGGTAGGAGGTTGATTACATCAGACGACTTCCATCATGGAAGGAGTAGAATTTTGTTCTTACTGAAACAGACACTTACTCTGGATTTGGACTTGCCTTCCTTACGTACAATGCTCATGCCACAACTACAATCTGTGGATCTACAGAATGCCTGCCTTGTCCACCATTGTGGTAATCCACATAGCATTGCTTCTGAGCAAAGAACTCACTTCACAACCAGAGAAGTGAGTCGGGAGGCCCATGCTTATTGAATTCACTGGTCTTATCATGTTTCCCACCATCCTGAAGGAACTGGCCCGATGTAACTGTAGAATGGCCTTCTGAAGACTCAGTCAGCTGGGTTGCAATAACTTGCAGGGCTGGGGCATGGCTCTCTAGAAGGCTGTACTGTTTCTCCAAAAATCAAGGGGTGGAAATGGGCGTGGCATTGGTCACGATTGCCTTTAGTGACCCACTAGCAAAATTTTTATGTTCCCTCAAATTTATGCTTTGCTGATCTAAAGGTCTTAGTTCCAACAGGAGGAATACTTCCACTAGGAGACAAAAACAATGATTCCACAAACTAGAAGTTAAGACTGCCACTCAACCACTTTGGGCTCCTCATATCTCTGAGTCAATAGGCCAAGAAGGGAATTAAGGTGTTGGCTGGGGCGACTGATCCTGACTACCAAAGGAAAACTGGACTACTACTCCATAATGGAGATCCCTTTAGGGAGTGTCTTACTGTTACCATGCCCTGATTAATAGAAAGGTATAGCCCAATCCAGACAGTATCACAAATGGCCTAGACTCTTCAGGAATGAAAATTCAGGTCACCTCACCAGAAAAGAACCATAAGCAGCTGAAATTCTTGGTGGAGGCAAAGGGAACACAGAATGGGTAGTAGAAGAAGGTAGTTTTAAATACCAGCTATGACCGCCTGACTAGTTACAGAAATGGGACTGTAATTGTCATAAATATTTCTTCCTTATTTCGTTATAAGTATGTTAATTTGTTTATATACATGTATTTAAAATAGAAGAAGATATTTGTGTCCCGTATGAATACTCACCAAAGGGTGATATAGGCAGAGGAGGATTTTAATAACCAAGTGAATAATATGTCCCTTTCTCTGGATAGCAGTGAGCCTCCTTCCACCGATGTGTTCTTTCCTATCTTATTCCATTATCATGTAATATAATATATATTGACTTTACATTAGTATTTAAGTATTATTAATTTTATATCATTGTTTGTAAGTCATGGGGTATCAGGAGAAGTGTAACTATCACTTAAGGACTTTACCTCCTCTACTGGGTAAGGGATTATTAGTGTGTTTTCAGTTGTACATAGGATAGTTGTACCATGCATGTTATGTGATATTATGACCTTGTTATTATCTTTGAGATCAAGTATGCTTTGAGGAGATGCATATTGATGCTGAGTTGAAAAGAAGTGGACTTATGATGGCTAATTTTTGTTTTGGCACCCTAGATCCAGGCAACATGATGGTTAATTTTATATATCAACTTGACTGGGCTATGGGATACCCAGATAGCTGGTAAAACATTATTTCTTGATGTATCTGTGAGGGTGTTTCTGGAAGAGATTAGCATTTGAATCAATAGACTGAGGAAAGATCTACCCTCATCAATGTAAGTGGGCATGATCCAATACATTAAGGATCACACTAGAATAAAAAGGTAGATGAAGGGTGAATTCTCTCTTCTTCAGCTAGGACATCCATCTTCTCCTGTGTTTAGACATCTGAGCTCCTGGTTCTCAGGCCTTTTGAGTCCAGTATTTATACTAGCACCACTTGCTCCTCACTCTTGCCCCCACCCCCATGTTTCTCAGGCCTGTTGCTTCTAAATGAGTTACACCATAAGCTCTCATCATTGTCCAGCATAAAGACCGTATAATGGTACTTCTCTGTCTCTATAATCATGTGAGCCAATGCCTATAATAAATCTCTTACATCTCTCTCTCTATATATCCTATTAGTTCTGTTTCTCTGCAACTCTGACTAATATACAAGGGGTTAATGCTGAAAATATATAAGGGACTCAAACAACTCAATAGCAGAAATACAAAGAAACCAATTTAAAAATGGGCACAGAACCTGAATAAACATTTTTCCAAAAAAGACATATATGACCAATAAATATATGACAAGATACTTCATATCACTAATCATCAGGGAAATGCAAATCCAAACCATGAGATATCACCTCACACCTGCTAGGATAACTGTTATCAAATAGTCAAAAGATAACAAGTGTTGGCAAGGATGTGGAGAAAAGGGAACTGTCATACAATGTTGGTGGGAATACAAATTGGTTATAGCCATTATGGAAGACAGTATAGAGGTTCCTTAAAAAATTAAAAATAGAACAACCATATAATTCTGCAATTCCACTTCTGGGTATATATCCAAGGGTAATAACATTGCTATCTTAAGGAGATATCTGAACATCTAGGCTCACAGCAGCATTACTCACAGGAGCTGAGATATGGAAACAACCAGAGTATCCATCAACAGATGAATGGACAGGGGTTTTTATCAAGATGGCTGACTATAGACCTTGGATGCCAGTCCTCTTCAGAAAGTGGACACAAAGTTACAGGTAAATAATCATGGCCCGAGTGGAATACTGAAGGAAGAGTGCTGGATCCTACCAGAGAACCTATGGGGAGAAGCTGGGGTGTAGAAAAGGAAGAAAGCAAACATTTGGAAGAGATCAACCCCTGAGGGACTTGTAGTCCCATGGAAAGAGCGAGTGGGGGTGTTCTGAACTGTCAGAGAACCCCTCTGCCCTTCTGAGCCAAAGCTCTGGTGTGGATGGTGATTTGGGAACTTCTTGAGGGCAGAGGGTTGGGCAGCCAGCTCATACAGGGTTGCTTACCTTGCCCCCAGATTTGAGCTGAGCTGATGTGTACCATACTGTTTGTGCACCTGTTTGGGGCCTCTGTCCTGCCCAGGAATCTCAGCACTTGTCTCTGTGTCACCGGATGTCCTACAGATATTCTCCCAGCACCTGCCTGTACTGTGGCAACCACAGAGGCCCAGGGGGGCTGTGGGATTCTGGGGGGTCTAACAGTCAGGGCAGGTTGCCTCTGGGGAAAGGGAGAGTGCAGCATGCCAAAGCACCCTTGGGACAAAGGAAGCCAGAATATACACTCTCTTCTGCCTGCGAGATCTTCACTTATGAGCTGAAGATAACTAAAGCCCTCCCTGCAGAGATCTGGGTGTGGTGCTAGGCCCTGCAGGGGAGAAATGTGATTCCACCGTAGCAGCCCGGTGGCACCAGTGCCTAGTAATGGATATGGAGACACAGCTGAGGCTGTGCCTGTGGAGGGTTGGAACAGGTGCACTGGGACATTGCCATCCCACGGCTATTGGGGGAGGCTGCATCACCAGGGATGGTATGCTCACTGCTCCCAGGCTTGCCAGGGGGGCGGGCCCATCCCCGTCCCTGCATGGTGCAACACTGTTCCTGTGGCAGAGTACAGTGAGTCATGCTCTCTGCTTTGGGCTGAGGGAAGAGGCTCCACCCGGAGGCCATTTTGGCAGAGAGCCATAGGACAGGCATTTTCCACTGCCCTCAGGTATATGCAGCCTGAAAGTAAACAACAGTTTCTATCTGAGCTGAAGGTCGTGAGCCCCAGGACAGAGATGTGATAAGGAGATGAATGGCATTCCTGCCTACCAGGAACA